TAAAAAAAAAAAAAACATCTATAAAAATCGACATGTCTAAAACATTAGTGATCAACAACGAACAGAAAAATAAAATAACAATTGCCGTTAATTCGTTTGAATCAATATTAAGTGGCTTTAAAATAAATTTCGAACTGAAAAGCCTGATTGTCCTACTTTCACTGTCCGTTAAGCTTTTGTTCCGATTTAACAGAGCGAAAATGTACGTACGTTATCATTATGTGGCGTTTTAATTGAGATACGGAATCGTTAACTGCACGAGCCGAGTGTTATCTCTATATATTAATACGTGAAGCAAAAACTTTGTATCCCTTTTTACGGAAATTGCGCGGACGGAGGAGTATGAAATTTTCCACACTTATACAGAATATAGAGAAGAAGTGCACAATGCTAATTTTTTTTTAAATAATGCCTAAAAGATACATTAAACCAATAAAGAAAACATTACACACACTACCATGTATTTGACGCACACACGCATGCATACTATTTATTTATTGTCAAACTTTTGTTCTTGACGTCTGTGGTCAAATTGAGAATAGATTAAATATTGTTTGTCTTTATATTTTTCTATAGTGTAGTCTTGGCGAAATTTATGATTATAGAAGTATATAATAGTCTTTGATAATGGAATCATAATAGTTTACAAACTTATAATTGCAATTAATTATAGTCGAATTTCGACCACCGGGTGACCACTAGTTTTATTAAATTTATGCAGAGATCGGAGACTATTTTAATAAACCTTCCTAATGATCTGAGGTGTGTCGATAGATTATCTGCCATGTTTCTGAGAGAATTTAAAGGGCGTTTTGGCGAGAAGTGTCCGAATGTTCTCAACCTTTATGATTACAGTTATAACTGTGTCGGGGATATCAGTTCCTTTTCCTTCTTTGTCGAATCACTATTGACGAAATAGTATTTATCGTTACCTCATTCCACGAAGCCCTTCACGCGATCAATGATCGTGAATGCTGTAAAGACATAATAAAAAATAAAACCCTTTCTAAACATTATGGTGACGACCCTCAGTAGTGAGGAAGAGAAGCGTGGAGAGGTATATGGGTAGATTACTGGAGGTACCTCCACCCTGCCTATTTCTGCCGTGAAGCAGTAATGCGTTTCGGTTTGAAGAATGGGGCAGCCGTTGTAACTATACTGAGACCTTAGAACTTACATCTCAAGGTGGGTGGCGAATTTACGTTGTAGATGTCTATGGGCTCCAGTAACCACTTAACACCAAGTGGGCTATGAGCTCGTCCACCCAACTAAGCAATAAAAAAAAAAAGATTTGATGCATCTCACAATGTCCCGTCATCTCTCCCTGCTCGCCATCCTACTCCATTTATGGGACCTCTGTCGTCATCATTTAGCAGCATATTTTCAAAATAGTATAATGATTTGCTTACCGGTCTCCTAACATAAATAATCGACCCGATATAACGCGGAATCATTTTAATGACAATACATTATTCATTAATCAATTAGCCCATTCTACTTTACAAAAAATCATCTGACATATCCGAAACCAATGCTCGTTCGAAATCCGAATACCCAGTTTCTCGATGACTCAATTAGCCGGTAATTACACGGAATTGTCTGCATTCATTCGGGAAGTAAAACAAACCGGTCGATGGTTCAGACGAGACAGAGGAAACCCGTAAGAATAAAAACCGAGTCACAGTCAGTCACAGATCGTTTACACATTGCGCTTTATTATTACACTAGAGGTCCCGCAGTAGTCGAAATTCGACTATAATTAATTGGGATTGTAAGTTTGTACACTATTATGGTTGTATTTTATACTTCTATAATCACAAATTTCTCCAAGACTACACTATAAAAAATTATTAATAAAGACAAACAATATTTAATCTATTCTCAATTTGACCATAGACGAAAGAACAAAAGTTTGACAATAAATAGTATGCATGCGTGTGTGCGTCAAATACATGGTATGTGGTGTGTGTAATGTTTAATTTATTGATTTAATGCATATTTTATGCATTATTTAAAAAAAATTAGCATTTTGCACTTCTTCTCTATATTCTCTATAAGTGTGGAAAATTTCATACTCCTCCGTCCACGTAATTTTCATAAAAAGTGATACAAAGTTTTTGCTTCACGTATTAATATATAGATTACACATATAATATATCGTATCGTGATTTATAATCAAACTGCGAATACTATTTGGGGCCATAATCAAATCAAATAACTCATAACATTAGTTACCGTGATTATAAAAGTACTCTAAATTTGTTGTCATGACAACAGGCACGTGGTCCTATAACTATATATTCGCAAACGCTGTTAAATTAGGAGCTATAAATACATTAAAAACTAGCCCAAATCTTATTCGTATCACTGGTTCGAAATTCAAATTCTAACTTGTTTGCTATTTTTCCAGTAATGCGTGTTTGAAATTCGGCAATTTTATTTAATCAGTATATAATAAAATAATAAAGGAAAACTAACTGGATATTAGAATATTATTAAAAACAAAAGAAGTACGATTTTTAAGCTTTTTAAAAAGTTCCTATTTAAATTATTGTCATCCGTGTTGGCGTTATCAAATGCGTAAAATGAAAAATATAAAAGAAAATTATATACCTAATATTATCAATAAATGAGTGATTGTCTTGATTGTGATTAAGCATTTTTTATTCGGAACATGCGAATTAGAGAAAGTTTAAATTCACGAAATCGTTACTTTTTTCGCGGCAAAATTGAAAACGACCCATTTTCGAAGTATACTAATAAAAAATTCTTTTAGCTGTCTGTATTGATTGTGAATTAACTACTTGAGAAATACATTTTATATATAAAAAGTGCCCAAACTGTTTTTAAGTATTATATTAAAACCAAAATACGATATTTTACTTTTAAAAAACCGAACAGGAGGTCGTTGAACTTTATTATTTGTTCGTACTTTAGAAAAATGCTACCGGATTCATAAATATGGAAGCGTATTGTCAGAGGTATGTGTGATGATGTATCTTATCTCACTACGATGTCGAGAGTCATTATCCTTTAATTAACTTTGATTAGCAGACGAGAATCGCAATTTACCTGGAATTTAAATATACTAAGGACTACCTTGTTCCATGAAATTGTATATTGCTGTCGTAACCTTCGTACAAGAATACGTATATAATTGTTACGCGGTAGAAATATAACAATATACATCGCATCATTACAATTGAAGTGGCTTGGCAAAGGAAGTGGCAGTGGCAAAATTCGTGTTTTTTGGTAAACTCAAAAAATGTAACTGAAGAATTGTAATTTTTTTAGTTATTTGATTTTAATACTTTAAGATGTGTGCTTAATTTAAAAGAGACGGAAATAGTACGTCTGTCCTTTCTGGACTAAAAGAGACCTGTTTAATTTTATAAGCTGATAGAATACATTATCGGTGGTTTACCTGTACAAAGAGTAACACAGTTCAAATATACAGTTCAAATATAGGGCATATTGTAACTGAGGAATTAAAATATGATATGGACATGGAAAGGGAACGCAGGGCATTGGCTGTCAGAGGGAATGTAGTGGCACAAAGATTTGCGGGTTGTTCAGTGCCGGTCAAAATTACCCTCTTCAAGGCTTACTGCCAATTTTACACAAGCGGTCTTTGGGCTACTCATACCCAAAAAACGGATAATGCCCTGCGCATACAATATAATAATGCCTTCAGGGCGTTGTTGGGGCTTCCACCTTATTGTAGTGCATCAGGCATGTTCGCCGATGCGCACACAGATGACTACTTCGCGATAATGCGCAAAAAGGTGGCATCCATTATTCGTAGAGTAGGAGGAAGCACCCACAACGTCTTGAGGGTACTAGCTGAAAGATTGGATGGCCCGATCCTGGGTAGGTTCATCAAGTTGCATGTTCTACATGCTGCTTGATGGGGCTGCCAGGGCCGGAGTTGATTTATTTATTTAAATACTAACATAGTTCGTAAGTTCTTTGTAATACTAACACAATATGAGACTGATGTCTTGAAATAAAAGGTTTTTATTTTTATTTATTTATTATATGTCGCGCGAAGTATATAACTCATTTTCTTAAAAACTTTCATTATGCCACTTTAATGCTAAAGGTGCGACATATTTTTTTGACAATCAACGTATCAATATGAAGCTACCATTCCGAGTGCTTTTTTCCCAATTTAAGGTTGAGTGAAACTCTGGGGTTTAATTTATACTAATCAAGTAATTGTTTTTTAAAATCAGTTGGAGTAATTTCGTGCTATTTAGGTAGTAGATTCGGTTGGTTCTTTGGGTTGTGATATAATTTATTTCTTACCTCTTCGAGAGATGAAGTCGTAGTCTCAAAAACGGCTGTTCCGCCCTTTGAATCGTACGTAACGCGTGATTGCTTCGCGACAGAAAAAAATGAGGATGGCTTAAATTTACGTGCTTACAAAATGCCCTAAAACCTGTAAAAGTTGGTGGTTGGCTAACGCTCGTAGCTGGGGGCTCAGATATCGCTTCTGCTGTTTTCCAGTGAATCCCTTAATCGACTTTTGCGACACCCACAGAAAGAGAAAAGGTGCCATTATAGACCAATAATATCTTATTTAATTGTCACTAGAATGGACAATGGAATTTACAATTTACATCATAGCATATTAAGCTTAGTTCAAGTTATTAAATGAAATAATTGGTGCCACTCTATGTATTCTGTAATACTCTTTAAAGGTTTCCATGTTAAAAATTGCACAAGATTATTTCTCTGGCAACGAAATCTTGAATATAAACATCTGCAAATGTCATTTATTTGATGAATTACAACGCATTGCTTAAGTTAAAAACCATCTGAAAGTAATTTAGTGATGACTCGCTAATTGTCGCAATGATTAGACCATTAGTTAACATTGTGTTTTTTTACAGGCTTACGTTATATCACCTCTATTCATTCTGTGTTCAATTGGCCTTCATGCCCATTGAGCCGTTACTCAATTTACAAAAATCACTAAGAGCCCATTGTTGTTGCAGGTTCGACGATCGCTCAAATTGCGGGGTAAACGCAAGGAAAAGGAAAAGTTGCCTTCTGGTATCACCGCTGACTACACCGCCTCGCTGTTCGCCCATCTGGAACACGATTCCAATTATTCGAACTACCCGCTGATTTCCAACTCCGGTTCGAATTCGAACTTGAGCGACGAGACAAACCATTTGTCGCCGAGCTTCCCCACAACGCACACGTGGGGCAAAAAAGAAAGCATTCTACAGTCGGATAGTTCAGAGACCTCTCTGAATTCCTTGANCACCGCTGACTACACCGCCTCGCTGTTCGCCCATCTGGAACACGATTCCAATTATTCGAACTACCCGCTGATTTCCAACTCCGGTTCGAATTCGAACTTGAGCGACGAGACAAACCATTTGTCGCCGAGCTTCCCCACAACGCACACGTGGGGCAAAAAAGAAAGCATTCTACAGTCGGATAGTTCAGAGACCTCTCTGAATTCCTTGAATAACCCAAATAATATTAACAACACCAGTCCACGGCAACCGCCGAATCTACCTCCGATACCACCTCGACCTCCAAAACGAGGAATCCTTAAAGGCCCTCGTCTAAGCAATACTAGTTCGAATTCTCAAGAGAGTAACGTTAATAATGCAGATGTAGTGGACCATGTGATCAACGGTCAAGATTCTAACCTGTTGGCACGTAACACGCAGCAAAACGAAACCGTGTCTTATGGTATTTCTGCATCGAAGAGTACTTCCTCCAGTGATGATTTGCAACACGTTCAAAACTTTACAAAGAAAGTCATTCACAGTCCCGTGGAGATGCAAAGTAAAAATTATAAAAACAGCTCCACCAATCCAACAATCACAACACAAGATGTTGATGCAGCGCCAAAGACGAACGGAAACAGTTACATGGGAATAACATCCACTTCTCCCAGCGCTGATTCCTTGACCGACACCACGACAAATTCCTCATTTGCTACACCACCGTTTTCTACGTCGCCCGTTGGTGAATCTCAGGGTTTCCACAGATGGTCACGAACCAGTAACTTCGACGATACCTACCTACCATTACCGGCCATAATGCCAGTTCAACTGCCGAAGCCGAGAACATTAACGATTCAAAGGCAAAAAGCACCGCGAAACGACTTCGGATTCAGTTTACGAAGGGCAATGGTCCAAGAAAGAATATTCATAGGCGATCTAAATAGTCACGGAAATGGCTTAACGAACGGGGATAACAAATGTAGTGGCACCACTAATTTGATCAGCAAATTGATTTACAAGGCCGTTATCCTAGCAGAGCCCGGTTCTTATCCTGGAGCCAGCGAGACGGGCCTATTACCCGGTGACAGATTGCTCGAAGTTAACGGTATTAGCGTTGAGGAAAAAAGCAGAGAAGAGGTCATCGATCTGATTAAGGGCAGCCAAGATTACGTTACTATCAAGGTAAGCCAATCAGCAGTAATGTTATACACATTAATTTGATGTGAATCCGTAACTGTGGCAGACGTAATAAAATATGATTTATCGAAAATCGGCACTATTATACATACAAAATCCAGTTAAGTAGATGATTAAGCGTTCAATAGAATTTTGCTCGGTGTAATCTTAAATGCTTGTGAAAAAAAACATTATACTAAAAATAACAGTCCCTCATTAGTTGAATTCAAGAACAAACTTTCTCTTGATTATTCATTTACGGTAAAATTTTGAACGATGATCATCTCGGACGATCTTTGAGTGGCTTTATGTTGTGTTATAGTTTCGCTGGACGTTTGTGTTTCGCATACACTGTGCTTAGTGCGGGTTTTTGTACGTTCTCGATAGCGTAAAAGTTAACTCATATTTGTATGGAATGGGATCGTTTGCCTACGTTTGCCGTTAGGGGCGCTGTTCCAACTGCATACAAAATTGGGTTAACTCGTACGCTATCGAGAACGTTAAAAAACTCGCACTAAGCACACAAGTTTCTTTGCTAAAATTAACACAATTATCAGTGACTTTCCCTACAACCGGCCGGAACTACTTTATTTGCATAACTTTAGCATGAGTAACACACACATGCGTGTTTGTATATGTGTGAAATTGGAATTTCGATTCTCTTCAATTATCTCTAGTGTATTCCAAAATTCTTGACGGCAAAAAAATATTTTGTAAGTTTAAATCGTTACGTATTCTTTGAAACTATAAATTTGATTTTTAGATTGTTTGTACAACCAAATAATGCTACCGATTTAGATTTTTATGTGTCTGGATTTGTACATTATTAAACCTAACAATTTACTGAATTTATAATCTGCTAGTTCAACGTATATTTATAAAGACAATTACTATTCTCGTTTTTCATACTAATCTTACTGGTAGTAAGTTTGCGAGCACGCACGGGTATTACCACCGCCTTACCTATTTATGTCTTAAAGCAGTAATGCGTTTCGGTTTGAAGGATAGGTCAGCCGTTGTACTGTTAAAACTGAGTCCTAAGACCTCTTGTCTCAAGATGGGTGGCGGGATTTACGTTGTAGATTTCTATAGGCTTCAATAACCACTTAACTCCACGCCACGCACCATCCGGCTATGGAATGAGCTCCCCTCCAGGGTGTTTCCCGAGCGCTATGACATGTCCTTCTTCAAAAGAGGCTTGTGGAGAGTATTAAGCGGTAGGCAGCAGCTTGGCTCTGCCCTTGGCTTGCTGGAGTCCATGGGCGACGGTAACCACTCACCATCAGGTGGGCCGTATGCTCGTCTGCCTACAAGAGCAATAAAAAATAAAATAAACTCCAGGTCAGTCGTCAGCTCGTCCACCCATCTAAGCAGTTAAAAAAATCTATGAAATATTATTGAACAGGTGCAACCAATAGCCGAGCTGTGTGAGTTGTCGCGCAGACGTGCGGCAGACGGTGGCGGTGACGTGGATCTTTTAGACAGCAACGTCCGTGGAGGCACCCTGAGCCGGTCCGGAAGTCGCCGTTTCACATCCGCCCAGGTAAGGGATATGTATAAGTCGAGTTACCCTTAGTGTAACCCTTTTTCCTTACCCATTCGCTAGAACTACTCTAGCTTCGCGGGGACGGTTAGATGAATTTAAGGGCGCAACCTGAAAGAATTTGCTAACATCGTGTCGTGTATGTATTGATGTGAAGGATATGAAGTTTGGTATACCTACTAAGATTGTGTTTCTTTTATGTTTTTCCGACGGAAATTCAACGTAAGAGTAGTTGGAAAATGTAGCAGCTTTTTATACTTTTTGCGAATTTTGCGAACAGACATAAAATGTGAAAAATAATGTTTTAAAATTATCAAAAAAAAATAATGCATGTAATGCAACAAAAATTTGTTTCCTTACCGAATCGCTTCGCGCGGAGAGTTAGATGAGTTCACGGGCTTAACCTAAAAGAAATTGCTAACATCAGTCCTAGCAAGAGTAGTGCTTCGTAGAATCTACCACCGGATCGGAATCGCGACCCGCAGAAGGTCCGGCGAGAAACTGAACGGGCTGTGTTTATGGGTTAATTTGCTCGTTGAGCTCTTCTTCGTAATCGACGAGTTCGAGGACGACGACCGGTGCTTGAAGAGCTTAAAGGCACCGAGAGTGTAGTGTTACCATAGCAGTAGGCAGTGGCTTGGCCGTCCTCCTATCATTTCAGACGTCCATGATCGAGGTTGGACATTCACGTACGCTAGTCTGCATACAATGCCAGTGAAGTATTGCTGGTGGTAGGACCTCTATTACTGGTGGTAGAGCCTCTTGTGAGTTCGCGCGGGTCAGGTTCCACCACCCTGCTTATTTCTGCCGTGAAGCAGTAATGCGTTTCGGTTTGAAGGGCAGGGCAACCGTTGTAACTATACTGAGACCTTAGAACTTATATCTCAAAGTGGGTGGCGCAATTTACGTTGTAAATGTCTATGGGCTCCAGTAACCACTTAACACCAGGTGGGCTGTGAGCTCGTCCACCCATCTATACAATTAAAAAAAAAGGCATTGTGGACTAAAGTATAAAAAGTCGGATGTACTTAAACACGTTGGGACTGTGCCGGGGTTCAAATCCCGCAGGCAAGAACCTATTTTTCTAACGACATACATACGTACATAGCTAGTACGTGGTCACGAGTTAGGAATAAATTGGGCAATAAAAATCAAACCCGTAAAAGTGTAATCCGAGTAATTATCATGTAATTGGACATAGACCTTAAGTCCGTTAATCACAAGTGGGTCGTGAGCTCTTTGACTCGTTCGTGTAACAGAAAATACAAAAAAGAAATACAATTTAGAGCAAAGATGTTTCAAAAAATTCAATAAAAATAGTTTATATTTAAAAAAACAGGCTTTTAAAGCAAACAGAAGTAACTATTAATTAATTAATTTCATATTTTTCATCACAGGTATTAATGATCTGTGACTAGTCAAGGTACTACAACGTAGTAATGATAATAATGTATTATATTATCATCAGTCCTTGACGTGTGCAAGTTTTGAAGTGAATTGGACGTCTTGAAGTCGGGGAAAATGACATTCAAATATATCTTTACATACAAAAACAACGATACGTACCGAGCTAATAAAAGCGTGTCAAAAATGAACATCTCGCTTGACTTACCAAGCTGCAGAAACACCTGCCATTGTTACACCTGCTCGTTTCCTAACAGAGGACGTCCGATATGATGCTTCAGATAAAATTAACGTGACGTCGGGATGAGATTTGAGTACTTAGTCAATATTTCATATAATACTAAAGAAAATTGAACATTAGCTGTTCAACAGGAAAGTTGATTTTTAAAGTTGAATATTAGCAAAATATTATTATTATAAAAACTAGTGGTCTTGTTGCATTAGAAGGGTAGACGATCTGAATTCGCCAATTTGCAATTGGCATCTGATAGATGAGATCAAGGCCACAATTTCTTTTTTTTCTTTTATTTTTTATTGCATAGATGGTTGGACGAGCGCAATCCAATTTGGTGTTAAGTGATTAGTGGATCTCATAGATATCTACATCGTAAATGCAGCCACCAACCTTGAGATATGAGTTCTAAGGTTTCAGTATAGTTACAACGGTCGCCCCACCCTTCAAACCGAAACGGATTACTGCGTCACGGCAGAAATAGACAGGGTAATGGTACCTCCCGTGCGGACTCACAAGAGGTTCTATAACCAGTAAAATCCACCAGTAAATATCCGCTTCAATGTAGCATTTTTTTGACGCTTTTTTACAATAAAATAAAATTTTCTTACACTATTTTTAATTCAAATTTATTAAAATTTATTTTCTATTTTTTAGTTGGATTTTCTATAAAAGCGTATTTTTTTTTTGTTTTTTTAAACTATTATTTATTTTGTTTAGGCTTTTAGTTTAGGCGTATGACGATTTCACGTCCCACTTGCAGTTGAGTGGTCATCGGAGCTGATAGATTCTACAGCACGAATCCCATTTCAATCTCAATTTTACAGCATAACTGCATTTTCTACTCTTAGGACCGGACTACGTTACTGCTTGACGATAGAACTAGGCAAGGTGTATATAAAATGAATATCGTGCAAAATAATAAAACCATTACTTGATTTCATTACGCAATGCGCGATGATATAAGCAAATAATTCTAAGTCGCGTCGTTAAACACACAATGTTGAATGAAAGGTTTGTACAGCTGCCCGTAGATCCGTTGAAGACTGAACATTTCATTGTTTGTTGAGTGATTCACTTCATTGAAAATACTCCGAGTCAAAATATTGTGTAAAAATTTGTGTGTCGATTTATTGCTTTGCAAGTAAACCCTATCAATTGCAAAAATTGCAATGAAATATATTATTGATATTATTAAAATAATGTACCTGAATAATGTTACGGTCGCATTGTCAATGTTGATTTTCGTAATGAAATTATAAACTAATAAATTTATTCATTCTAACGCATTTCATAACTATCTCAAAATAGATGTAATATAATATCATCTTAATATCATATTATAATATAAACTTAATTACGATTTTAAGTAATTTTTTTTTTAATTCCCCTGTTGAACTTATCAATAAGACCACCTCGAGAGTATACGTTTTCTTACAAACAAAAAAATTAAAAAAATACAAATAGCTTCACAAGTGAAAGAGATATCGGAGAACATATATTACATAAAAACTGTACAATCGAATATAAAATGTCCTCCAGTTTGGATGTTGGTTAAAAGTTTAGATTTAAGATGACATTTTAATTGAAAGCATCTTACAGTGCCATCTATGGCATTCGCATTAGGATTTACCTTAATTCAAATCATCAAGGCAAATTGGCCACAATTTTTGCGAATTTGTTTTCCCCAGGGCTGAATCTGTGGTCCTCCTTTACGTACTTATAAAGTATATTTATATTTGTCTTTATCTATCTTTCTTTATCTTGGCTTACAAGACTTTACTGGTGGTAGAACGCCTCGTAAGTCCGAACGGGTAGGTACTAGCCCTGCTTAATTCTGTCGTGAAGCAGTAATGCTTTTAGGTGGAGTTTTTTTTTTATTGCTTAGATGTGTGGACGAGCTCACAGCCCACCTGGTGTTAAGTGGTTACTGGAGCCCATAGACATCTACAACGTAAATGCGCCACACACCTTGAGATATAGTTCTAAGGTCTCAGTATAGTCACAACGGCTGCCCCACCCTTCAAACCGAAACGCATTACTGCTTCACGGCAGAAATAGGCGGGGCGGTGGTACCTACCCGTGCGGACTCACAAGAGGTCCTACCACCAGTAATTACGCAAATTATAATTTTGCGGGTTTGATTTTTATTGCACGATGTTATTCCTTCACCGTGGAAGTCAATCGTGAACATTTGTTGAGTACGTATTTCATTAGAAAAATTGGTACCCGCCAGCGGGATTCGAACACCGGTGCATCGCTCGATATGAATGCACCGGACGTCTTATCCTTTAGGCCACGACGACTTCAAAATTGATCTAGAAATTGATCTAGAAAATCTGATCTAGAAATTATATTCTCAGTTCATATAACACTTGTGTAGTTTTGGCGGCAATTCTAATCGACAATACAGTAGTTATATTTAATAGCGAAAAGTAGTATAGTTTCCGGACTCGATAAATAAACCGAAATTAAGATACATTGATCCCCAGGGTAATTCGGACCCCGGCAATATAATTTGATAAACAATGACTCATGCTGAGGGTTCGAATCGATAGTGATAGGGCTACAACATATGACTAAAATAATTCAATTGATGTTTTATCTATCAATCTATATAATATATAAAAATGAATTGCTATTCGTTAGTTTCGCTAAAACTCGAGAACGGCTGGACCGATTTGGCTAATTTTGCTCTTAAATTATTTGCGGAAGTCCAGAGAAGGTTTAAAAGGTAGATAAATATGAAAATGCTCGGAATTAAATAAAAATAATAATTTTGTTTTTCCTTTGATGAGTCCCCCGTTGGACGGATTCCTTTTGTTTGTTTTAAGTTAATTTTTTTGAGAAGTTTGCCGGGTCAGCTAGTATTTTATAAAATGAAGGTTTTTTTTCCCTACCTAGCCTAGGTAGCCTAGGGCTATTCCAGCTACGTCCTGACGAGTAGGTGAACTCACGGGCTCAACCTGAGAGAATGTACTAACACTAGCACGAGCAGTACTGAGATCTGACGAGAGACTAAGTGGGTATAAAATGAAGGATTCCCAGTATTTAGTAGTAGATACCGATGTTCCCTGGCGCTGTAATATTAAAAAACTCGATCTAGTGGTACAGTAGCCACGTTTGGAAAATTGACACTATCATGGTGACCTATCTTGGCAAAAACCGTTTAATAAATAAATAAAAACCGATCTCCCTCGGCTTGGCAAAAACCGTTTAATAAATAAATAAAAACCGATCTCCCTCCGCTTTCATTACACATAAGCATGAAAATTGTCTAGTGAATTCTCAAATATATTTTTTAAATATAAACGCTCTTAAGCTTAAAGAAAAACAACGTAAAACAAACCAACCAAATCGGTCATGTTAAACAAGCCGTAATTGATTCTTTAAAAATATATAAGTTTTAAGAATTTTTATTATTAAAAAGATATTATTGAATTTTAGTTTAGAAAATGTCAAATCCGTGATTGAAATTAAAAGTTTCGTCATATTTAATGCATATCATACATAACATAATTTACATTTTAAACAATTCAGCTAATTAGTGGCGGGCCGTGTGTTTGATTTTATACGACAGCTTACAAATTATATGTTTAGGACGTCACATTATAATTTTATTGCTTACAAGTTTATGATCCAGTTCATATAGCTCTTGAAATAACATTTTGCTGTCATTAAAGTCAATAAATAGATCGTTTCGATGATCCACTGTTTTCTGTTCGATTTTTTCTTAGCTTAGAAGAGACGTTTGGCATTGGGGTGTAGATTTAATTGTTTCATGTTTGTGCGTGTGTCTGCGCGTGTGCGTGCTTGTGTGCGTGTCTGTGCTTCCTGCAGTCGTATTCTTACAAGAAAATATTCGCTTTAGGCCTTAAAATATGGAAAATCAGTTTTTAGACGTCTATTACTGGACATGGGCCTTAATGATTCTATGCTGCTCGCATCCACCGGTTCCCCGCGATCTTCAACAGACAATCGTCCATCCATCTCGTGGGAGGCTAACCCACGCTACGACTTCCTGTGCGCGGTCGCCACTTGATAACTTTTTGGCCCTCTAATATTCATCACAATTTTTATTTGTTGGTCATCACCGTAGGTTTTGGACAAGCCCTCGAGTTGAAGTTCCTTAGCATCCTGCATAATAGATAACGAGTATAAAGAGAAAGTCTTTGTTATTGTTTAATTTTGTACTTATACCTGAGAAATGTCTTAAGATTATCTTTAGGGGCATTTAGGCTTTTGTCTCATTAGATAAATGCCATTGTATTATATTATGTATAATCATGCGAGGCATTCATGTATTTTCGGTTATATGAAAAAGGATTCAACACTGTTCCATGCAATGTTGCTTATTTCTGTCATAGGACAATCATGCACTCCAGTTTAAGGGATAGAAAAGCCGTCATGCAACACAATTGAGTGTCTGACATCACGCCTCAAGGTGAATGACAGTGTTCTCCTTGTGATGCGTATGGACAGTGGTAGTATCAAGAGCAATATAAAAATCAAGGACGGTATAATTGTGAAATAGATTGTCAGAAGTAAAAGGATATTAATGAAAGGGATAGAAGATAAGACCATTAAAGTTATGTACGAACACGACGGATGACGATTATTTATTTTATAGACACACACGAGTGCTATTTAACTGTAAATATTATGTGAAATAATAACTATAGTTTAAAAACAAACAAAAAAAAAACCTTGTAATAGTGAGTCTATTAAAAAAATACCCATAATTATTTTTTTTATCCTCGTCAAGATATTCGGCCAAAGTAATTAAAATTATTATGTTATCATCATGTACGTGTCCCGTTTCTCCCAAACTGTAGTCTGTTTCTTCTAAAGTAGTAATTTAAAAAATTGCAAATAGATGGACGACAGCCCTAATCATTGTTCGGTGGGTTCCGCTCTATTTGTGGTAATTCGGAGACTGTCACAGGGTGACGTGAATTACAATAAAATGTTATTATTCAATTCAAAATTTGTAGCATGTAATTAGGTATATGTTGTTTCAAATGGTTATCTTTTTCTAGCAGTGTAACAAACCGCTTTTTCGAAAAAACATTAATTTAATTGTAACATTTCTTGAGATTTATTTTACAATTTTTTTAAATGTTCACCGTGCGCGTTTTTCACTCAACCACGACTTTGGCGCCATTTTAGTAATTTAAAAAAAAAAAATATAACATCACTTCCACAAACCGACTTATTACGTGCATTTGTCCCGAGCGTGGACTCATTTATGCGACTCTATGCGTCCTATTAAAGAGGTTGTCTGCTTCCGTACATTTACTCTTTTATTATATTATATTCTATTATATATTATCTTGATCGCTCGACAATCTCGTTCCTAACTAGTGTAAAGGACACCTTTTAAATTAGTCATTGCATGTATGTGTGTATGATTATTTTAAGTAACATTAATCGTCGTGTAATAACACACTTATAACTAAACTTCGATATGCCGATCAAGATGAGCAATGGCTTTCAAATTTGCTAGCCACCGGCTATAGGGCGGTGAGGGTATTTGACCTTCGCCATTAACTCGAAAAACTTTTCATAAATTGTTTTTGAGTGTAAATGTGTTTTTCGTGTATATCGAAAGACATGTTTAACTTTCCCGTGTGTTAAGCGGTAATAGGACGCGAATGACTTAAGAATACGTCATGTTTGAGGTACGAGATGGAATAGTTCTTTGTACGAGTATTAGATAATCTTGGAATTGAAGCAAATTTGAGCTTTGTTTTTGCTATGTTCTACAGATAGCTTATATCTCTAATACACAGTAAAATAGTAACATTATCTATTTCTATATAGTATCTGCTAATCACTGAAGTCTGTTGAAATTTCGAGGGCATGATTGGTTCTATTCTGTGCAATTTTCAATTGACTTACATACGTGTACGTACATCAACATGCGCATGTTTACAAAACTGCTCGCGTAGTACTTATATTCGCACGAGGGTTATCAGCCCCAGTAGACAGTATTGTCAGTCGAGTGCTACGAACCCTCAGTGGGTACTCTTTGATGTGGTTGTGTGGTTGGGATGTAGAATGTATGGATGTGAAGTTTGGTTATAATGAGTGTGTGTGTGTGTGTTTTTTTTTTCGATGGAAATTCAAGAGGATACGATAGAGTAGTTTGGAAATGTAGCAGCAGCATTTCATACTTTTTGCGACGCTTGAATTGAATGTCTGTCTGGTATAGGAATACGTAAGTTATTGAAATAATAAATATGAAATGTGTAACTGATGTTTTAAAATTACCAAAAAAATGCATACATTATAAAGTGCAACAATCAGAACAATGGTGATTGAATTAACATCCTACACGGCACAATAGTCTCGTAATTCGAGTTGGAAAATTCATAAAAAGTACATATTTTGATTATTGATCCTTTTCCGTTTTCTCGTTATGATGATTTGTGATATTAATAATTTTATTTCGTTCATTTATTTGTTACATGTGATGTTTTTTGATTATGTTCTTATAGAAAATAAATAAGTATAATTTAAACTATTACAATTGTCAGTTCTCAGTAAACATTTTTTACTATAAAAACGTATTCCTCGTTTTCAAATCATACAGTGGCTTCAACAGAATCAGTCAGTGAACCGATGTTAGTCTAGACGCCACGCCCCTTCCCACAATAAGTTGCAGCCTATAGATACGTAGGGTGTGTCACTCCATAATGTTTTCATTCCTATCCTATCCTATCATCCATATGTATTCTTAGATGCGGTTAGATTTTTATAAAATATGAAAGTAGAAATTTTATAAAATTACGCTTTTCTTTTCTATGTGTTGATAAAAAATGTAACAGCTTTTTTTACACGAGAAAGAATCGCGTTTAAAGAAGCTTATTCTCGGAAGCGAAACATCAATATAGTAATCGATAATATTAATCAGAAAACCTTTTTTTTTATTGCTTAGATGGATGGACGTAAATGCGCCACCCACCTTGAAATATAAGTTCTAAGGTCTCAGTATAGTTATAACGGCTGCCCCACCCTTCAAACCGAAACGCGTTACTACTTCACGGCAGAAATAGGCTGGGTGGTGGTATCTACCCGTGCGGACTCCCAAGAGGTCCTACCACCAGTAAAACTGCAGTTTGGCGTGCGGCCATAGCTTCCCAGACGACCACTTGAGAATAGCAATGGGTAGGTACTTTCGCATAAAATCCGTAACTCTGTCTTATAGTTGGCCAGAGATGTTCAAAGGTTTCCACAGGCCATTGTATTGTTTCAAATATTGATTGATTTGTAGAGAACGTGCTCACGACCCGTGGTGCTCAGTGGTTAGTCTTTACCGGTTACTTAAAATCTGCCACTCGTGTCACCTTTTATCTGGACTGGTTCGCGGCAGAAATAGGCAGAACAGTAGTACTATCGGAGCGAGCTTATAAAAGTACACTTTGCCACTAGTAAAACAAAGTTTTCAACTATCGTTCGATTTTATTACGTAACTTGTTCATTCAGTAAAAAAAAGTATCCAGCACTTTTTTTTTCCTACCTATGCTGATAGCCTTTAGAGGCTATTTCAGCTTCGTCCTAACGTGTGTAGGGGAGCTCACGGGACTCAAACGGGAGTGTTGCTAACACTAACCCTAGCAAGAGCAGTGCTTCGCAGAATCTACCACCGGATCGGAGACGCGACCCATTGAGAAGATCCGGCGAGAAACTCAGTGGTCAAAGCGCGTAGTATGCTCATCCTTTTAAAATCTGTACACGCAGGCTTTTCTATTATTCCATATAAAAATTATCGCCAAAGGCTTTTTGAGACTGAAGACTACTGAGTCTTAAGAGAACAGGGACTGCATTGGTATCTTTTTTTGGGACCGCGGTATGGGCGAAAAACAATATCATTAGTAATATATTAACCACGTTTCACAATATTCCGTGTCGGACTTATTGATGTGTTCTCTGTTTTCTGCATCCAACAATAACGGAGATGGATCAATTTTTCGTTTTGATATAGTTTAGAATTCAATTAATAGTAGCACTCAAATGTCTCTCAGATCTTTTGAAACCTCTGGGTCTATGGCGGGACTTCGATTCGGTTTGGTATCGTATATTCCACGCTCCGAGGATTTGTTTGAGACAATTCACTGCACCAGCGTTTATCCACACCGCATCTCCAGATAATTGTTACCACATACCATCTGACTTTGAAATATACTTCCTTCCAATGTTTCTTAAGCGCTAGATGCCATTTCCAGAGGACTTTTTTGAAGAGCCTTGGCTCAGTTATGGCTATGGGCCTGCATTGCAGACGTCCATGACCAATATCCACTTACAAATAGGTGGGCTGTAAGCTCGTACGTCTACAATGGCAATACAAAAAGCGATTGACAACAATATCAATGAAAACATATATATTTTTTTGTAAATTTATAATTTTTAAATGCTAAAATGTTCGCTCAAATACAATTTTTATTGCCCACAAAGGCAATTACCACAATATAAAAAGTAACAGTGATCTAACAAAGTTTGTAATACACTTGTTTATGCTGTATGTACAAACTTTTTTTTTTATTTATTATATTTTTTCGAATTTATTAATATTACTTATTTCAAACATATCTATTTGTTGCTCACTAATCAATTACAACAGAAATTAAAGCAATCATTAAATAAATAATTCCATCCACATAACATTCCAAAGTCCAACATGTGAATCAATTGTTAAGATTACTTTTGTCGAAACTCTGCATCTCATATTTGGCAATCACATTGCAAACTTCCATTTTGACTTTAGGTATTAAATTTGGTTGTAATTTCTTGACACTAGATGCCATGCTTCTAAAGAACACATCAATTTCATTGGTATTCTCCTTAAGAATTCTTTCTATGAGTTTATCGATGGTCTGTGTTCTAGATGCAACTGGTATTTGATTCTGATCTTCTATGTATTGTACGATCTTTGGTCCATTTACAAGTAGTGGTTTCGGTAATATTTTCACTGGTGGCATGTCTCTTGGCATCGGTACTGTTTTCTTACGACCACAGTTCTTTTTTCCTATTTTCTTGGGTTGTTTGTTACTGTTTTCTATTTGTTTGGGTAATATTTTGATGAACTTGCTCTCAATATCTGCATTGTCAACTAGTCTGATCTGTAATTTAAATTTTATTATTTAAAAAAACGAATTAGTCGTAACTGAGCAGTCTTTCACTGCAACCACCAGGTTTGTAGGACAGTTTATAGTGGGTTCTTTTTTTATGATAAGATAGTAGTTATCCAGATTATAGATAACAGATACAGATTACAGATAGTTATTTCTTTGACCATTATAATTGAAATATATGCTTATGCATTATATGCCTGTTCATTTTCATTTCTAGCAGTGGACGACTGTGGGCTGATGATGATGATGGATGATGATATGCCTGTTATGTACTTTCATTACATCAACTGTTTACATAAAATGACAACATATATTTTTTTATCTACACTTCCTGCGACACAATTATCAAGGGCAGTTCAGCAATTAATTTTAATGATAATTTAAGAAAAAATCATTTAAATGGCAGGTGTATGCTAATTAATAAACACACTATTTTTTGGATCATTGTATATTTCAGCGTAACCCTGCTAAATTTAGAGTTAACTGTTTCCTTACTGTTAAAATTGTTGGTGTAACAGTTATAAGTCCAATGCAAGTCAACAATTGTTTAAGATGGTATTCAGGAAAATTTATGAACAAACTACTTCACTGTTCTACTGTAAATACGAGTTGCTTTTGTCACAAAACACTGTCTGCCTCGAGCAGCCGAACAGTGTGGAGCTCTATGTGGTTATTGTTGTACACTTCGAATCCAATAAAAGGAATTGTTTTAAAAAGTAAGTTTTAATTACTGTCACTATGGGAGGCAAAGATAATGATGAAGAGAATAGTGTCAGCGATGCTGATATCATCACTAATAACACCATAAAACCATCCACTGCGTCATATATTAATTATCACTGAGTTAATCATAAAGGTTATCACTCTAATTTGAAGTATACTTGAAAATAAATGTTTTTAAATTCACACTCAAAACATTCAAAATAAGTATGTATATGTCATAACTTGGCTCCTGTTTTATTTTTATGAAGATTAAGAAACAGTTACCTCATAATACTCTTGATTATCTGTTATAACCTCTTGTTCTGTTTTTGGTTTTTGTTCATTAATCTGATTACTTTCTTCTGCCTCCATGTCTTCGGTGCTATCAACCTGAAATGTTATTTGACTATAATTAAAAAATTAAATATATAAGTCATATGTTATATTGACTGATTAGTGCTCCTAACAGCTGAGCTGAAGGTCATAGATTCAATTTCCACATCAGACAAACATTTGTGTTATGAACATTTTTGTTCAGGTGTTTAATATCTATAATACGCATATATTTCAACAGATATGAGAATGTATATCTGTCTCTAGTTCCCATTATTGAGATAATTATAGTTTAGTGCCAGAAGACAATGCCTGCCAAAAATTGTCCATATTTTACATGTACTGTGACATTGATGAAATCAATGCCTAAGGCGTTGGAGCTATTTCTTTATAAAAAAATTTGTCTTTAAACTTACCAAGATGTCATCAAGGAAATTCAGCTTTTTGTAGACAACTAATTTGGTGTAACCTGGCATACTACCGAGACGTTTACTTCTTGTATAACTATCACGGAGACCTCTCCATCTCTTCCTGCATTCTTCAACTGAAATTTAGTTTTCATTATATAAGTTTTATATTTAATAACATATATGTAATATTTAAAGAGATTTCTATATTAAAATTATTAATAGACTTGTAAAGTGTATGTAAGAATTCACATTGTTATTAGCAGATTTTTGGCTACATTAAAATTCAACACTAGGATTACCTTCAATGTCCTTTATTTGGTAAAAAAACTTCTCAAAAGACAGTTTGATAAATTTCCTATTTACGTATCTTAAACTGTGTAAATATTAAGGAATTCCTTCACAGTAAACAAAAGCAGTATTGTGCAATATAGCACTTTAATATTTAAATGTTACCTGGTCTGGATATCTGTTTCGCTATTTCTTGCCATGTTGTTTCCCTTGCTAGTATATTCTTCCTGGAGGGGTCTTTTACGTTGTACAAATGAGCGTGTGGTTTAACTAGATCAATTAATTTTTCGTCTTCTTCTGTTGTCCATCCGACTGCGTTCATTGGCATTTCTAGTTTGATGTCAAAGTTGCGGTAAGGAACAAACAAGATGTCGGCCGCCTATCAGCGAACGAAAATAGACGCGCTGTGCTGCACTACGTCACGAACCGGTGGAAGTGGTAGCTTGTAAAGTCGTTTCCATGTTTCTGATTGGCTGAAATAAGTGTAAACGAAACGTAAGAGCAGTTTCAACGCCATCTAGCTTTTGAAAATCTAAACTTTCAGTTGACGATAGATGGCGTTCTCTTACGTTACTATTTTGACATCTTCATTTGTAATACAAGGTGGCGCTTTCAAAACAAAAAAAACGGCCCAAATATTATTAATTGTGACAGGTATGTATAGGCAAGGCTTGTAATTACAGTTATTAATATTATGTAGACACTAAAATCTGTAATTTCAAATACTCTAAATTCGATATTTATGAAACAGATAAAGTAACTCACAATAAATATCACGAAGACGTCTTCTCGCATTAAAACTATATACCTAATCTCAAAACTTACTAATTTTACAGGAGAGTGTTTTGAAGGTTTAACATGTAATATTTTTAATATTAATCATATTTGAAACATTTCTTTTTATATTTATTACCAGTTACATTATCTGTCTTTTAAAGTAAGATAAAATTATGTATTAATTTTGTTAATAGTAGCCAAAACATAGGTAAACTAAAAAAAAAAAACTAAAACTAAGCAACGCTCTTTTGAGAGTATTTATGAGAAAAATACTTCTTAAACCAAATGTTTACGCATATTAACTCAATTTCGGACATTTTTGGAAATTGTACACTTTTAATGCGAAAAGGCGATATTATAAAATTTGCCTATATAATTTGAATGAATTGTTTATTATTATATCTTATTACTCAGGGTGAACCAGAATTAGAAATATATTATAGTTTTTTCGGTTTGATTTCAAGTAACTTTTATATTATTTTTTTATTGCCTTCACAAACTTTGTTGAACCTAATGAATGTTGAGGAAAGCTTATGTATTAATATATTAATTTCATTTAGTTTGCCTATTTGATAAGTGTATCCCAAAGTTATCGACTTTGAATTTTGAAAATGCCTTTCCGAGGTAACGCTTCCGATAAAGTAACACATTGCTTTTATTATACGACCTCAAATAAAAAAGATGGAGGTAATAATATAATAATGATTTTCTTTTACAAATCGCACATGGAGCAATTCTTTTACAAATCGCGTTCAAATAATTATTTATCATGTTTTTGGGCTTAACCCATCACTAACTGTAGCATAAATGTTAGAAAAATAGTTTTTTTTTTGTTCCTAATTGTTAGTTGCACAATAGTTCACATTGGTGTTCCATGCATAGCTATTATTTATTCCGTGCGACTGTGTAAAATAAACATTTCAAATCGAATCAATCAATCTCAAATTAAACATTCAAAATTTAATATCATCGATTTCACATCTATTTTCACTGAGACATCATATCTTATAATAAATGTAGTGGTAAAACGTTATTTGGTTAATGCGACATATTATAATAGGAGAGCCATTTAAAGTTTAAAATTTAGAAAAAATATCATAACGAAAAAAAATCTTCAGCTATTTGAATGGGGTAAATTTAATAGAAGCTCAATTAAAAACATTCAATTGTTGATACTAAAATACCAAATGTTATATATTATTTATAAAAATGAATTGCTGTTCGTTAGTCTCGCTAAAACTCGAGAACGGCTGGACCGATTTGACTAATTTTGGTCTTGAATTATTTGTCAAAGTCCAGAGAAGGTTTAAAAGGTAGATAAATATGAAAATGCTCGGAATTAAATAAAAATAACAATTTTGTTTTTTCTTTGATGTGTATGATTTAAGTTTATTTTAAACAAAAGTTTATGTCTTTTATTTATCGATTGAGGCACTACGAAGTCTGCCGGGTCAGCTAGTACAAAATAAAACGGACCTTAAATTACAGATAAATGACGCGTATTAATTAAATGAAATGTCGCTTAAACCAAAAAGCATTTCATTCCTCGATCTATTTCATATTTCTAGCAAATGTTTGATCATAATATTGAGATATTCCTAAATAAATACGTACCACAAAAGCGATCTTTGCTTTAGATATAAGCCTTAATCATTTCAATCTCCAATTAAGAGGCAACATTGAGTTCATTTGTATAAATTCAACTTAATTAGCGGTCGGTTGTATTTAGTTATCTTAATCAGCTTAGTATGATGAATATACAGACTCTTATCTCAAGTTCGGTACCTATTTAGTTCTTCTTTTTTTTCTATTTGAACACTGTTTTGGGTTTGTAAAAATTTTTTAATTTTTTATATCCTACCTAAGCTGATGGTCTAGAGAGACCATGTCAGCGTCACCGTGCTAGTTAGTAGGTGAGCTCACGGGCCTCAAACCTGACGATGTTGCTAACACGAACCTTAGCCGTGCTTCGCAGAATCTACCTCCTCCTCCTCCTCGTCGTCCTCCTCCTCCGTCGTTTCCTCACTGCTGAGGGTCGTGACCATTATAATTCGACATGATTTTACTCCTTGTGATGTCCCGCCAGCGCCTCCGATCATTGGCCGCATGAAGGGCGTCGTGGAATGGGATCTCTAGTGTGGTGCGGATTTGGTCGAACCATGTTGTCGGACTGCGCCCGCGCGGTCTCTTTCCCTCGATCTTCCCTGTCACAAATAGTCTTTCTAAGCTATCCGGTGTTTTCCGAGCAATATGACCGAAGTACTCGAGTGCGCGGCGAAGGCAGAGTGTGGACAGTCTAGTCTTGATCTGCAGTTGATCTAAAATAGACTGATTGCTTCTCTTCGCTGTCCAAGGTATCCGGAGCCTTCTTCTCTAATTTACCACCGGATCGGAAACTCGCCCTACTGAGAAGTTCCGGCGAGAAACTCAGTGGGCTGTGTCAATGGGTTAATTTACTCGCCGAGTCCGAGAAAATTATTGATAGTTTTTTCATGTTATTTCTGTATATGGACAGATGAGCTCACAGCCTGTCTGGTATTGACTAGATCCCGAAGTCCATAGATGTGTCCATCACATTCATTAATCAAGATCGTTCTTCTTTGATGACAAATATTAGACGCATATGTGTTTTATCATACGCAACTATGTGAATTATGCATTATATTTGGAATACACACCATCTATTACAAAACAAACACCGACCTCCCAGGGTGTCCCCCTGGAAAACTATAACTTATTAGATATTTTGTTACCTTCCACCGCGAAGGCCTTGGAAAAAATCGTGACAATTTTTTTTCTTTTTTCTTTTTTCTTTTTTCTTTTTCTGTGAACTACAAGCTTACGTCAGAATATTTTACATGATAATTGTCTGGCTGTCAATCTGATGATACCGTTCTTAGTAATTTTACTTCTCTATTTTTTTATTTATTTTTTATTGCCCTTGTAGGCAGACGAGCATACGGCCCACATGATGGTGAGTGGTTACCGTCGCCCATGGACTTCAGCAATGCCAGGGGCAGAGCCAAGCCGCTGCCTACTATGTCGCTTGTTTTCCTATTTAACTTCCTAGTCCATTGACGTTCCTATCTCGACTATTTGGTAGAGCGTGTAATTAAGTAGTAGCATCGTCCGGCTCATTTATGCTATAGTTATTTGTTCCGCTCTGACATTTATGATAGGCTATGCTATTGAGGCTTCGGTCTAATGTCTCGAATCGGTCGGACCTCATGATCTCTGGCTACATAAAGTGACTTTTAAAATATTAGGCGGGAGGATTAAAAAAAAACAATTATGATCTAAAAATAAGTCTTAAAATACCTTTCACATACTATTTCATTTAACGGGTTTTTAACACGTTTTTGTTTTATTTTATTGCTTAGATGGGTGGACGAGCTCACAGCCCACCTGGTGTTAAGTGGTTACTGGAGCCCATAGACATCTACAACGTAAATGCGCCACCCACCTTGAGATATAAGTTCTAAGGTCTCAAGTATACTTACAACGGCTGCCCCACCCTTCAAACCGAACTGCTTCACGGCAGAAATAGGCAGGGTGGCGGTACCTACCCGTGCGGACTCATAAGAGGTCTTACCACCAGTAAAAAGTAGACTGAAGGCTGCGGGTAGGATGTTAGGAGCAGCATACAAATCTATCTACCTTATTTCTAGTTCATCTTTGGATTTTACCATTGGAACTCTTTAACTCGCCCCGACACCAAAAAACTCACGGTATCGACAATTTTCTCCGAACACTAAGAACGCATTTTTACTAAATCTAATGCAGGGTTCCGTTCACTAGACAACCTGAAGTCAATAACCCGGTTGAAGTTTTAAATATCTTAATTTAATGCAAGCCGTGTACCGTTATTGCACTACGCACAAAGAGAGAGATTTAAAATAATTTATTGACATCTCTGACTGACTTCAAAGCGATTCCGTTCCGTAAGCTGCGATGAAATTGACATACACAACAGAAATATTAATTTGTAACTAGAGGTCCCGCGGTAGTCGAAATTCGACTATAATTAATTGGAATTGTAAGTTTGTACACTGTTATGATTGTATTTTATACTTCTGTAATCACAAATTTCGCCAAGGCTACACTATAAAAAATATTAACAAAGAGAAACAATATTTAATCTATTCTCAATTTGACAACAGAAGTCAAGAACAAAAGTTTGACAATAAATAGTATGCATGCGTGTGTGCGTCAAATACATGGAATGTAGTGTGTGTGGTGTTTTCTTTATTGATTTAATGTATCTTTTATGAATTATTTTAAAAAAATATTAGCATTGTGCACTTCTTCTCTATATTCTCTATAAGTGTGGAAAATTTCATACTCCTCCGTCCGCGCAATTTTCGTAAAAAGGGATACAAAGTTTTTGCTTCACGTATTAATATTTGTAATATCTACATAGTATAAAACAAAGTCGCTCTCTCTGTCCCTATATCTGTCCCTATGTATGCTTAGATCTTTAAAACTACGCAACGGATTTTGATGCGGTTTTTAATAGATACAGTGATTGAAGAGGAAGGTTTATATGTATAATAACATCCATTAAATAGTGGAGATATCTATAATAAATTACAGTTTCCGAAGCGAAGCGAGGGCGGGTCGCTAGTTTGTAA